TAAACAAACTAAGCAAAGGTTAAAGATCAAGATATTGCAGCATCGTGCCAAGTGATTTTATGAATTAATTGTGCCACACTTGCTTCACTATTGACCGAAAGGTAATATTCCATGATTGAAATAAGGTCCTACCATACCCTACCTATTGGGCCAATATCTTTGAGGAACACTTTGCATTACCAAGGAACACAAATTGGGTACTTTGGATCCAGCACTAGACGGGAATAGGCCAGATGCGGGATTGCGAAGTAACTTGTTTCCTGCAACGGAAACACACCACAAATGATGATGAAATTAAAGTTTGAAGCTGCAGAATCAAAATTAAAGTTTATAGCTACGAAATTAACTACACAAAATACTGCACTGAGTACAAGAAACTAAAAGACTAAGAACTAATAAATGATGGTAACAAGGAACGATTTACTCTTCTCCTCTTTATTTTTCCTGCATTTGTTTTATGCTGTTCCTTGGCTTGAAAATTCCAGTGGAAAAATGTTTTCTACATGATTGCTCACAGCAGCACTTGCATCATAGGAAAGGAGATTACCAGCGGCTATACTAGGCATCCCAGGACAAGTAATATTGCTGGTCCTTAAATTTCCTGTTTCCAGATCGTAAAATACTAACTGCAACATGTCATGGTACCCCAATTTTGTAGTCATCAAGATTTCACTAGTTTTGTGCGTTGTCCCTATGACTTTAAGTCTGGAAACTGGAATTCTTGGCAATTTGATTACATTCTTGGCCCAATTTTTATCCTCCTTGTTGAATATCCATAGCTTCAACAAATTATGACAAAATGGTTTTCTGTATACGATGGCAAGATCATCTCCAATCCGTGTCACTTGACGAATTCTTTTAGTCCTTTTGGGAGGAAAAACCATCCCAAACTTCTCCTCCCCAACATGAAAATATTGTATAGCTCTTTCACCATCTACGAACAATTCATCTTTCCAATAAATACATCCATCCACGCAAATTGTCCCCTTCTTGAATTTCTCCAGTAGTGGTTTGTTGCCCATCGTCCTCCACAAATTCGTTCCAATTGTAAGAATCCTCCACTTAACTTGCCTGCCGAAATCCAAAGTGCAGAGCACTTTATATTCCTTCCTATGAGGATCAAATCCCAGAAACATTGATGGATAACGGAATTGTAGTGGACGCTGATAAGGAAGCGTTACCTTTTCCCCGGTGGTAATATTCAGCATCTTAAGTTGATAATCTTTCCGGTCGAAGAAACAGATGAGACCATTGACAATATCTGTGCATGGTGAAGATTGTTGGAAGTTATGAGTAGGGAGTCCAGCTGTCAAGGCGGCTTCAAGATTTGTAGGGAAGATTGATCGGATCGTTGAAAAGTTTTTTCTAAGATAGAATATAAGATAGGAGGCATCGGGCCGAGTTTGTGAGACTTTGTAGTGCAAATTAGCAAGGTAGGGGCTGGAAATTAGGGTTTTCCAAGACTTACAAACGCACTTGAGTCGCATAAGAGGCTTTGCTGGAATTCTTTTGAATATGTTCAAGAGAATATCATCCGGGAGTTGAAGCTCCAAATCCCCTCTTCTCTTCCTCTTTCCCATGATCAAAGTAATTGGATCTGAGTTTGTTGTTGTTATGTTTCGTCGCTCTTATGTCTTTTTTTATTAGTGTGGGGGGGGGGGGGGGGGGGGGAGTCTCTCTTGTTATTTCTGAGTGATCATGAAAAAAGTTGAAGAGGTAGTGAAGAATTCTTTTTAGGGTACGTAATTAACAAGGGAAATTAGAGAAAAAAATATATAGAAGAGACGGTTAGGAAAGAGCTGGTACAAAAGGGGATTAAAAAGGGAACTTCTTCGTTCATTGGAAGAGATCACGAGAATATTGGGGAGAATTATAGTTTCGGTTTCCAATATTTGCCATGTGTGTCCAATTGGTCTCTAGTGTATCTGTCAAAATAAATTTAGTCCCCAAAGTTTGTGAGTTTAGGCAAATTTGAGACAATTAATAGAAATTGAACAATGACTAACGGTGAACATTGAATTGCCGTTAGTCAACAATTTTAACTTTCAATTTTGGTCTTCAATGTTTGGATTTTGAATAATTATTTTTTTCCTAAATTTTAAATTATTATATTAAGGGTTTTAGCATGATTTGAGATGCAAATTAAATAGGTAACAAGAATTCTAATTAAACTTCTCCTCTAACATTTATTTCACTTATTCATGCCAAATATATCTGATATGTTTCATTTTTCTGCAGTTAATCTTAAATTTGGTATAATTTATGTGTATAAGTATTTCTCACTATTAATAAATAATTGATATTTTTTTTTAGTATTTTTATTTCTAGCAATATTTGAATAAACTTAACTATATATCTTTTCAAACTATAAGGAATATAACGTTTTGGCAAATTAAGTTGATTTTTTTTTTTTGCATTTTAAACAATTTATCAATTGAATTTGAAATGAAATTGACATTTTATACACATTATATGAACTATTAAATGATTATCAAGGTATATAGATATTAAAATAAATACTTTAAAGCTAAAGTATTGGAACGTTGGATTTTAATTGGTAGAAAAGACAACAAAAAAAAAATAAAAGAAAGCTTTCAAAAAAAAAAGAAAAAATCGTTTAAAATATCTCTCAAATTTTACAAAATGACTTTTTTCGTCCCTCACTTTTAAAAGTGTACTTTTACATCCCTTACAAATTCACATTGATCAAATTTAGTCCCTATCTAAATTTTCGACTAGTTTTTAGTCGGAATCTATCACGTGTCTTATATGTGATCATTTTTTAAGGGCAAAATTATCAAATCAAAATTTACATAATCTGATTCATAGTCCCTCACATTTCATAAAATTAATTTTTTTGTCCGTTACATTTCACAAAATGAATTATTTCGTCCCTCATATTTCACAAAATGAATTTTTTCATCCCTTATATTTTATAAAATAAAATTTTTCATCCATCATTAATCATGTGTATGAATAATTTTTTTTAAACTCATGTATATATCTATTTAATCTCACATGAACAATACGAATAGCATATAATATATCTCTATTTGATTTCGTTTGAACGTACTGTTCAAGTGAAATTAAATAGATATATCCAGAGAGTTTAAAAAAATTATTAGCTTTTGACTTATGTTTATTTTCGTTTACTCGAAAATTGAAAATAAAGAAGACATTTAATTCTAAATATTATCAAGTGTTTATATCGAATTAAATTTGGATAGAAAAAATAAACAAAGAAAAAGTATGACAAAAAGAAGTAAGTGATTGACACTTTCAAATTTTAAGACAATCAAAAGGCAAGAAATTCAACTGTTGGTCTTAAAGGTGGTGACTAAAAATTTCAAATTTAAACTGCAATTTGTTAGCATAACTATAGAATTCGAATTAGGACTGATTAATTAGATGGCCTCATTACACAACTCAATAAATGAATTATTACCAAAAGAGAAAGGTTAAAAATATTGAATAGATTCACGTGGTAAAATCAAATAAATATATATATATGAATTTAAAACAAAATTGTTAGATTTAAATCCATGTATATATCTATTAAATAGCATGTATACAATTACAATTAGTCTGTTTAAGTGAAATCAAATAGAAAAATATTACATGTTATTCGTACTGTTCAAGTGAAATCAAATGGATATATACATGGATTTAAAAAAAAACTTTTTATACACAAGGTTAATGAGGGATAAAAAAATTCATTTTGTAAAATGCGAGGGATTAAAAAATTTATTTTGTGAAGTGTGAGGGACGGAACAATTCATTTTGTAAAATGTAAGAGACTATAGATCGGATTATGCAAATTTTAATTTGACAATTTTGCCCCTAAAAATGATCACATGCAAGGCATGTGACGAATTTCAGCCAAAAATTTGGCGGAAACCTAAGTAGGGATCAAATTTGATCAATGTGAATTTGTAAGGGATGTAAAAATACACTTTTAAAAGTGAGGGACGAAAAAAATCATTTTACAAAATGTGAGAAACGTTTTAAATGATTTTTCCCAAAAAAACCAAAGAAAGATCCCAAAAATCCTAAAATACCTTCACATTGATACTTATCTTCAATAGTTTTTTTAAGTATAATGGCTAACTACAAGAATTTGAAATCTACATGCACAAGACATATAACAATTTGTGTAGTAGTAACTATAATATACTTAGATTATAAAATTAGAATTTTCTTTTTCTTCCACTACTTTTATATTTTATTTATTATTGGCATATTGTCATCAAATTATAGCTTATCTAACAAAGATATGCTATTTAGGCTGCAATCATGTTGTGCTAATACAACGTGCTATGAAATTTTATAGATATTTAGGAACATATTTGTCATATATCTAATTCAATTCAGATATCATTTCATCTTAAAAGCCCTGGTTGTAACTACTTAAAATCTAATCTAAGGGACCCATAATGATCAAAACTTAAAATATTAGGGATTAAATATGCAAATTCAAAACTTTTGATTAGCCCCAATTTGATGTTGACTATTAGTTAAGATGGTTTTCCATTATTGTCCTAAATCTGCTTACAATCACAAATTTTGGGATCTATATTTGTTTTGACTGAAATATAAGGCACCAATTTGGCACACAGATCAAATATTGAGGATCAAAAGTTGTGTTTTGTTATTGACGTATATCAAATGTTGGCCAATTCAGGGTCGATGACTTAAAAAGTTAGGAATCCAGTTTGTTTTATCGATTATCATCACGATATCCAGCATACCTGTATCGGCTAATTTTCTTTGCTTACGAGAAAGTACAAAGGCAAGAATTGTTTCTAAAACAAACTTCTAATGTCATATAACCAAAACCTATATCGAATGCTATTAGAGGGAGGAAAGAACTTTGAATTAGACGGAATTGTTCCATGAATTTGCCATTTATAGAAATTACAATGTAAGTAACAAATGGAGGAGGAAAGGAAGACAAACCAATCTTAAGTGACTCTAACGGCAAACCTCTCATAAAAGAAAATATGGAAAAAGTATACGAGACTGTTAGTTGATTTAAATCAATTCCAGCACTAATAGGGTGCAAAATTGTTATTTAATTTATGATTTTTTCCCTTTATTTTAACCAGATATTATTTTAATTGATGGATTCTACTTATATTTGGTTACTTGTACTAATTGTAGGGTGTTGGAGTGAAAGTTCCTAAAAATGAGTGATTTTCTGCAAATTGGTTGTCAAGGTTGAAGGATTTGGGATTCACATGTTCGGGGCCCATTTCCAAATTCGATTCAAACTCTGGGCAACTTTAGAGGAATATTTGGAAGACTTGAATTCTCATTATTAGTTTTATGGTTCAATTAGGAAACTTGGAATATTTTCTTTTGTGGTTTATTTTTCTATTTAGGAGATTCGTTTTTAGTTAGAAATAGACTTCAATTAGGAAACGAGGAAAAAAAGAAAGCCGGATTTCCGTGCGATTAGGAGTTAGCCAGCAACATTTTTTGGGATAACTTTTCGAAGTATCACGGAGGGATTCTTCTTATCTTTCGTAAGTTTGAGGAGAAAAATGATATGCAATTGTTATCAATGGAGTCCTGTGGATTTCCCTTGAGGACGCGTAGCTAAATCTTCTTTTCTAGTCAAGGGTTGACTTGAAGTCAGGGTTCCAAACATCTATGAGATCGAATTATTTTTATTTATTTTTTTTTATTCATTGGTATTTGTACGTTTTTTAGTTTAGTTTCTTATGATTGTTTTGTTATTTAAATGTCAAGGGTTTGATATTCGAATTAACCTAATAATCTACTCCAAATTAACCGGTTAAATCCATAATTGTTTGATTGGTCAATACCAGTAGCGACTCGAGTGATTGGTCCCATGTTAGGGAAACGTATGATCTAACTTAAACAAACCCTCATAACGTATTTGTTGGTTAGAGTTGGGCAGCCGTTTGAGCACATTGAAGATTACATCTTCTGGAAGTTGGGGAGGCTTTGAAACGTTTCCCTTACCCTTCTCCATAGCCTTATTCTTCCAGTTCCACTTAAATCTCCCCATAGAATCCGTGATTTAGTCTTCAGCTTCGCTTCAATTCTTTGTTCAGGGACATGGTGCTGGGCTACTTACCATTTATATTGAACTTAGTTTGGTTTCCAATAATTTATCCGGCCGGGCTGCTGATGAGTGCATCGCCCGGATGGGAAAGGAAACGCAATTCATTAGTTTTCCTTCTGGAAAAGGGTGAGCGAATTAAGAAACAGAAATATGAAAGAAAGATGGAAATTCCTATATGTTGGCATAATTAAACCAAGTTTTTGATGTTTCCCATTGTTGATTTAGAAATTCTTGTTCTAGTCAAATTTCAGTAATTTTCTTGTTCTAGGTATAGAGCAATATTTAGTAGTTTCTTGTTTGGTTTCTAAATTACCAAGCCTTGTGCACTATACATAAGGTTTTTATTATCATATTTAATTGAGAAGAGTTTAAGCAAAATTAAAGAAATTGTAAGGGTTTTGTTTGTGATTAATAAAACTCCTCTTCTTCCACATATTATTATGTCTGTCAAATATGCATTTCACTATGTGATTTTATATACATACGTATAGCTATTTGTATGTTTTGTAGCTGGGCTAAAAGGAAATTATGTTACTGGATCTTCTGAGTTTTGGAGCATTGATTAATGTCCAGGGGTCTTTCTTGTTTTATGCTTAGTCCTATGCATCAATTAAAATGCTCTAATTTCTTCTAGTAGTAGGCCAAAATGACTACTAATAAATTTGGCTAAACATAGTTGGTCGAAATGTTGCTGACTGCAGCCCTGATATAGCAAAATAAGAGCAATTGCAATTTACCATCACAATTATTTGAATGCAGGTATCTTAGCTTGTCTCGATGGATACATGAATATAGCAATGGAACAAACAGAGGAATACGTCAATGGACAGCTGAAGAATAAATATGGAGACGCTTTTATTCGTGGAAATAATGGTAAGTTTTAATTGATGTTGCTCTAGTATGTTTTTCATTTATCTTCCACTGTAATGATAATAGTGTGCGTTTCTGTGGTTGCAGTGCTATATATCAGCACATCAAAGAGAACCCTAGCAGAGGGGGCATAAAGTTGAGGTTCCAAATACATCCAAGTTATTTCATCATGTTCTGTGCTGTTGATGAATTCATAGATTAGGATTTTTTTTTGCTGTTCTCCTTTTAGGTAGATCAAGAATCTTTGTACTCCTAAACATGTTCTTCGAACTAAATCAGCATTCTGAACGCAGAAAACATGTTTTCTGTTGAACTCAATATGGATGGCTGCTTGCAGATTGTCTGACGTACAGTTGAAGTAGATATAGCTACTGGTGCCTGTATTCTGCCAATGTTGCATCAACACATGATTTGCTGGCCTACCAAACAAAAGATTTTCTTGTGTTGTACCCAAATTCGTTCTTGATTTTGCCCCCCTTCTCCCCTGTGTCTGTTATTTTCGTTTTTGCTTTTCCTTCCCTTCTCTGACATTGAACGAGATATGATACCCTTGATTCAGTGAATGCGCGCGCGCACAATTATTATGTTGATCCCGGATCGAATTGCCAAGTAAAATTTTTCTTTGGGCGGGGCTAAAGCTTGTTGAACCCAAGTCACAAGGCCTAAATTGATCGAGTAAGTAATGTTATATCATTAATAAGAGGGGGCATCTGTCGAAAAATTTGTTATGCAATTTGTAGTGCTATTAGTTCAGGATTTCGTTTTGCTTCTGCGAGAGAGTAGGTCTATGAGATTGTAAGAGCATATGGTTATATGGCCAAACTAAGCCAAAATTGTATCATCCTACCCTTTAGTTATTGTGGAATGACACGTAAAACCTTCTAGGGATCACCCTTATAGGATTACTTTGTTTATAAATAGGATATTGATCGGAAAAAAAATTATTATTATCTCAGGATAACTTATACATCCACCCTTGGGATTATACTGTTCCTGAATGAGGGATTAATTCAGTGAATGTTTAATAACATTTATAACCAATCATGGACGAGACCAGTAATCTAATTTTATGTCATCCTAGAACCAAAGGGGGAAAAATAGGGAAAAAGAAAGGAAAGGAAAGACAAGTAATATATAACACAACAAAGTTTTGATCTAATGGCCAAAGTTGAAACTTCAATAATTAAAAGTTTTAGTTTCGAACCCTTTCTCGTTTCTTAAATTTCACTATTTCCCTGTAAAACTTTTTTATTTTATGTATATATCTTTTTATTATATCGTTTTCGTCTTTTACAAGGTGGACGTCCTCATTTGCATCCTTTTCACCAAGCAACCCACTGAAGCAAACTGAACTACCACTGTCACTCATCTTCATCTCATTCCATTGCCTCATCTGCACTCCTTTACGGTATGAACAAATAAGGGAATGTCAACTTTTCTCTTTAAATTTTTGTTTGACTAAGCAAGTTATGTTTTCATATTCTATTTTACCCTGTTAAGTTCTTCTATTCATTCCCGATCATTTATCCTCTACTTATATCTTTTTTCTCTTTTGTTTTTTTTTGATATTTAATTTTACTCCTTTTATTCTGTCAAGTTTGCTTTTTGTGTTTTGCTACGCTGATCTTTTGGTCTCTGCTCGCAATCCTTTGGATATTAATACATGAGGTAAACATATCGATCTTTTTTGAAGTTATGTGCATTTGGGTCCTTTTAGAGTTATGTGCACTTGTCAAGGCTAAGTCGCTGAGATGTCTCAAATTAGAGGTCAGTCTAGTTAATACATCAGATATATGATTCGACCATATCCTAAGCGAAATGTTATTTTCATTTCATTTTTTGTGATTTGCACTCCCATCATATGTTTTATCATATAGTGTAATAAATGAAAAATATATGATTAAAACGATAGTGGGAGTGTGATTAACAAAAATGGAAGTGTGAACTGAGTGTGTTTGGATAGGATATTATTTGAAATATTATTTTGGAATAATTACTATAACACTTTTTGTGATGTGATGCATGCGAAATGAAAAGGTGATTGAAAAAATTAAAAAAAAAAGTGTATTGAAAATTGTGTTTATAATGCAAGCAAATAATTTAGATCCAAATATTTCCCTATCCTAAATGCAATTGAGGTTTGATCAAATCCTCCCATTGGATGGCATTCAGATCTTGAATCCTGACGATTGCCAATATATGCGTTGCTTCTGGCTAATTAGACAGTAAGTCCCACAAAAAGTGGAGTTCTTTCCATTTTCCTCCTCTCTAACTTGCTGTCCTACTTGCAAACAAACAACACCTCACTAGGGTATTCTGATCATCAATAATGAGCCTTCTTCCTTTTCCTGCAACCATTTTTTTTTAGTTCCCTTTTTCAATAACTTTTAGTCAAGTCTTCATAGAATCCAAGCTCCCTGTATTTGACTTCTAGTTTCAATCGTTTACGTTATGTAATGATAGGTTGCTTCAGATTTGGTAGGGTCCTAATTTAATTCCACTTATAGTCATTGTACATTTAGTGAGAGGAAAATTTCGGCAATATTGATAAGATTTAGAATTAAGAATTCATATCTTGACGGGAGAGTAAGACCGTATAAGTCCTTTATTTCAGCATGTTTATTGAATATGAAAATTTTGTCCTCTGTGGTTAAGTATATGTCAATAGGTAGGGTTTGGGTTACATCTAGTTGGTCTAGATCTAAAGTCATTAAACTTAGTTAGACCTAAATTCAGATTCAGACTCGTATGGGTCCGAAAAAGTAAATCTAGACTTCAACTCTATGGATTTGGGTATCCAATAGGTATTTATGGGTATTTTTTTGAACATACAGTAAAGAACTAAAATAAAATATTTTAAAAATATATAAAGTTGAAAAATAATATAAATCTAATTTTTGTTTTCAAATAATAAAATTAACATTCCAAAAGTTGAATGCTATATTATGAACTCAAATAAAGAACTATTATAAACTACTATTTTTTTTCAAAATTTCATCTGCATCCGCGTCCAATCCTTCATTTGTTTGCCTTAACTTTTATCCTTTTCCTAAAAAAGTTTGTATCCATCGCAATGGGAAGAAGAGGGGAAGGATAGAGGAGGCAATGGAGTATTTTTTTTCTTTTTTTTGGATGGCGGTACACTATTTTGAATGTTTTATAGAATTTTTTAATATTTTTAAGTGTTTTTAACAATTTACTGTAGTCTTATAGATCGTGATTGGAAAAAAAAAATGTCCAGGTGCCAAATAAAGCCCTTAATTGTTAATATCTCCTGACCTCATTCAAAACTTCTTCTGACATGTTTGAATGTTTTAGATAGTTTAAAATACTTTTAAGGTTTTAATTGGTATAATTATTGTTACTCAAGATAGTCATACTGTTGAACTTGATCTTACACCACAGTTTTTTATCCTAAGTTTACAAGCTTCACACCCTTTAACTTCACATGAATTAAATAGTTCAATTATGGTACAAAACAAAAAAAAATTTCTCCCAACAAGCTGTGAGGGTGTCTATAATGGTGAGAACAGTCACATATTAGTCCACTCCATCCTGCAATTCTTGTAGTTCTGCTTCAAATGGACTGCACTTGCCTGCTTCCTAAACACCAATAAAATTTATATATGTATACACACACACACTAGCCTTGACACCACATCAAGTAAGCATTGAACATAAGAGGCATCACTTCGAAGGGTAAATATTTTTGTGTTTACATATTCACTGACAGGTTGTCGAAACCTGTACAATAATAAAATAAAACCTATTTGCCAGTTAAAATGACCAAATCCGATTCCAAGTACTGGAGCAGGGACTCTAGGTGTGCAATGGGTTACTTGATTCACCCTGTTCCCGAAGAGTTTGCTTGATCTGATATACCCGAATGGAATGGTTATTTATTTTCACAAATATTTTTGAATTTGCAGACAGGGCAAGTAGGGTCGTATCCACAGGAATTGGGTATATTTGTTTCTTAAGAAATTCAAAGTAACACAGGGGGTGATTTTGTAGGAACAACGACAACCAAATAAATTCAAATAAGAAAATAAAAATAAATAACTAATTATAAATTAAACCACAATTCACTGAACTTAGAATAACAATAATTAAAGTCCTAAATCTATTAAAACAAGGGAACAATTAAAAATGCAATAAAGTTGACAACCAAAAACCAAATGGCACTTCACTAAAATCAAGATGATATTAATTAAAGATCTAGCCAAGAAGTAATTTCAGCAATGGTTCACCTAATTGATCCTTGAAACAAAGGCAATTCCAATTATTCACTAATAAATAGGTTATAACTGCCAAACAAGCGATGGCAGTCAACCCCTCCTTACTGTGTCGATGATCAAGGTACGCCCGTTAATCACTGCTCTAATTGAGAAATAATCCTAGGTACGCCCGTAAAATTTAATTCCCCAATTGCCTTACGTATTAGAGGAGCCCTATTCTAACCAAATAACACACTATCAGGGTTATTTTAGATTAGCCCGCGTGTCCCCCTGACACGAATCTAATCGTGCCAGTTGTCACTATTTTGAGGTAATTAAACAATTACGGATTTAATACCCCAATTGATAATAGATTACCAAATCAATTAATTATCCGGATCCAAGACAATCAACTAATTAAATAACCATAAGCATAGTAATCAGGGAATACACGAATACCAATAAATAAAAGGGAAAGATTAAATTAAATCGATCTCACAATTTTTAGGCGAGCCAGAGCCTTCGTTGCTCCTTGACTAGGATTGGAAAATTAGCTCATAATTGATGAACTAAATCCACGGGAAATTGAAAAGAAACCAGCGGCCATGTCCGTTTAAACTTGGCAAAATCCAATTCGTCCGACTACTGAATAAATAGAAAAGCTACAGAAGGTTCATAGTTTTCACTCCGTTTGGTGCACAGCAATGAAGGAAAGACTACCCTGAATTTCTAAAGAAGAAAGATCAAAAGCCACAAGTGGCTAAGTGCTGACATTCGTATGTAGCAATCTACTACCTCAAGCTAAAGAAGAAAAGTCAAAGATGGAGGAATAAGTTTTTCAACCATCTGCCATGGTAAGAAAAGTAAAAAACCAAGCTCAAGGAAAAGTCAACAATCTCAAGCTAAGCTACAGACGGAAAACTCTCCCAAAAATCAGCCATCCTTTTCCTCTGCATTTTTTTTTTTTAATTGCGGCGGAACCTCCACACGAAGCGAAGCCCTCCGTCCGTCATTCCCTTGCGAAAATTACCAAAATGGGCGTGACCTCTTTCTTTCCAAAAGTGCCCTGGGACAAGCTTTATGATCTGAATTCTTTTCCTGTCAATTTGGCACCTCTTATCATATTTTCGTTCTACTCCCTGAAATATACGTAAATTAAGAAAAATGAGTAGAATCCAACAATTAATCCACATCAAGTCAGGTAATAGGGGAAAATGATAATAAAATAAATAGATAAATTGCAGTCTATCAATTCCCCCCACACCTAA